TGAAATATGTACGTTGGGTTATAGAGTCATGTTTATTGCTCGCTCCCCAGAATACGATAAAATGTTTGAAATAAAAATAAAATGTAAACTTAATTACTAACCAAACAACACATCATCACATGTTTAAGTAGACTATAAATCTGCCCTAATTTTTCAGACATTGGCCCCTGACGTTTTTGTTTTTGAGAAATGTCAATTACGCTGATTTGTTTAACAATAAAACAAACTAAAGTACCATCACACTATGATGGCTGTTTTGACGTTTGTCCGCACATCAAGTTTCGTATTAATTCCTAACTACCGTTGAAGGAGCTAATTGCTATACATTGTTGTCAATGGTGACGTGCAGCAAAATTTATGGAGGTATTTATTATTTTACAACACAACTCGGCATTTGTTTATCGAAATTCGAAATTTTTAAAAATGAAATCTAAAACGATCGTCACTTATGGGATCGCTGGCCAGCACATCTTCTACCTCCGGCAAACTCGCGTCAAAGCTCAATGCAAAACAAAGCAGTTTCGAATTGACGATATATCTAGTAAACATTATTTTCGTTTTATTAAAACTTTTTAATCAGCTATCCCTTGCGATTACTAGTTATCAATCTAAAAACTTATAGATGCGACTCGCACTTGATACAATTTTTTTCGATAATGAATTGTGATTTGACCTCACTATTATAATCTGCCAAAACGGCTTGACCAAAAACGTAAAGAGTTTATTTTTCAGTTCAAATTTATTGAGATGAGCTAATTGAATTTTTTAATCTATTTTATTATACAAAAATGAGCTTATACACTTGTACTATCTGCTCACAAATATGGTTATATAGGGTATTTGCGTGCATACTGTTTTTTTTTTTTCCAGTTGTATAATTTAAGTCAGCCCACGAGACAGAAGATTGATGGCGCACAATAATTTGGAGCACAAAGAGTTGTCTCACTATCAGAACGTGGCAATCCTGGTATATCTGGATTGTAAGGTATCTAAATGGTCTGTGGATCATTACTTTTAAGATAGGTCTTTGGGCTCTTTCAAGTTTGAGTAACGAGGCTTTATGGGCACCACCCCAGAATGATATGCAGTATGTTATTACTGATTTACAGAGGCCCTGATAAACCATAAGTAATGTGCTTCGCTCAGCTGAGTGTCGGAGCTTTTTCATTTATCAATGTGTACACCCAGATATTTAATACAATAAGTTCTGGGAAATGATGTTGGATTTGTCAGTTGTAATATACATTTAAATAAAAGAGAAAACAGTCCAAGTTAAATCTCGTATTTAACATCTTTCTTAGCGAAACATAATGGTTTTATATTTAGTGCGCTAAATAACAAAATCTATAGACACTGTGTGGTAATAGAAACACCATCAATAGATAAGCGGAGGGGTGATTTGGCACTTTACGCAATGGCTGCTATTTCCGGCCCCCAATTTATTTATGGGCTGGTCACACAAAGTGCTACGAGTATATTTCCATGGTAAAGCAGACTGTAGGCAAATACTTGAATGATTTTATTTGCACAATTACAGAAATATATATAGCTTATTGCCCATTTATCGGTTACGCACACGTCAGAATTTTAGTAGACCAATTATAATAATAAAATAATAATAACACACACACTTTTAGGCCCGCACTAGGGAAACCCTGTATCACGGGCGCCATGGACACAAAGACAACTACAAATTGCACCCAATATCACGAGAGAAATAAATGTAGATCATACAATATTTCTCCCGGCCCGAAAATCGAACCCGGGTCCTCTCGGGGAACCGGGAACAGTCCAACATGGTAACCATTCAGCCACGGAGGCAGTTATGTTTATATTATTATAGTTAGATTATAGTATTGTATAATAAGATTCCGCTTTCCCCTTTCCATCATCGGGGGACTAGACGTGGGCTGGGGTTCCACTCCTATGTTGTGATATTCCCCGGATTCGCACGAAGCACATTTATATGGCGAGCGGCTAGGGAGTGGAATTCCCTGCCTGCAGATTTGTTCCCCGTACGCAACTTGGACCTTTTCAAGGCGAGAGTGAATAGGCATTATTTAGGTGTGCATCCTCGACCTCATCGTCACTTTCCATCAGGTGAGATGGAGGTCAAATGCGCACTTGTTATAAAACAAAGGTTATAGTAGGTATCGAGTTCTTAGGTTTTCGCAAGGTTTTCTTAGGTTTCCTAGGTTTTACAAACTTGTCTAAGGGTGTATTTAATAAGCTGGAGCGGTTGCATAATCTATGCATTAGATTTATTTTTGGGTTGCGTAAATTTGGCGTTTCAGAATTTCGATCCTAACTTGTATGGTTATCCATTCGTCATCGTAGGATTTTCGCATTTTATCCCTTCTATACTCTGTTCTCTTTAATCCCACCTCTCCTCCATAGCTCAAAGATTGTTTCGTGTATCTTAGCATTACACTTAGTCGCACCTTACCTTTTCTCTTACTCTTTCTTTAAATTATCCTATCCATTCTTCTTATTCTAACTCCTTCAAGGTTAGAAGCATCTAACTGTGGAATTCCCTGTCTGAATCGGTCAGACGCGCTAAGTCTGTTGATTCTTTCAAAAGTTTACTCAAAGCTCATTGATCATACTTTAATTATTATTCTTTTCTCCTATTCTTACCTGTTTTAAATTTTGTGTAAATTGATATTATTACCGTGTTTCGTACAATCATCAATTTATGTAATTATATGTATGTTTTTTAAATTTATTTATTTTCATTATTATTTTTATTTAGTATTTTATTATTATTATTGTATCTATTTTAGACTCTCGCGTCTCCCAAGGCCTAAAAGATTATTTTAAATATTTTAATGGGAGAAGCGGTATAATTTTAATTATTATTATTATTATATTCTTGATTTGTATATGTGCAGTATGTGTGTTCTGTTGCGCCCTGAAATAATTTTACCTTACAGTTTTTCCTGTAGCCCGAAGGTGCCTGGAAGAGATTGCTATTTACCAATAAGTTGTAGGTACCTGTTGTACCTGTCATTTTTACTATTTTGTATTATTATGTATTTGTCCGTGTGCAATAAAGAATATTTGTATTGTATTATTATGAGCGAGTATTTTAAAGTGCGACTGAATAGGCATCATTTAGGCGAGCTCGTTTCATTGTAGACCCTATTTTTACTCCAGGACTTAGTAGTGGCCAAGAGCACGTCCATTCACTTTAAAAAAAGCAAATTAAATTGATTATTGATGGCCTTCTTGCCAATTTCTTCACCGACTTAATGCGTGCTTGTCGGCAATTTGTTGGTCCGAGTAGCTAAATTTTGATAAACGTGTGCATTAACGCAAAATCTTTTGGATGATTCATTTTTATGGTTCACCTACACATGTTTGTATGCGTTGCTAGGATTCTTATTGTTCTATTTAAACATCGATTATTTACATCAACGAAGACCGTGAACCAAGTTCAAAAGAGTATACACCACCATACCGGATAGTGTTTTTTTTTTATTATTTGCCTACGAACTAAACTAATAAAGAGTGTACAAATGCATAATAAATAGTTTTTCTATTTCTGCCGCCCAGCGGTAGTGTGAAGCTTACTGTGTTCCGGGTTTGTGAGGCACATGGGGCTTGTCAACTTATGTCTGAGCGTGACGGGCGTAGCGGCAGTATCCCTCCAATCTTTGCGATTTAAAGTTCTGAGTAGCATTGTAACTGCTATAGACAGGCGTGTCGTTTACAACCAGGCACACGAGTTGTTCGCTTCACTTGGTAACATAAAAAAAGTTGTAATTATATAAGCGTTTAAAACATATATAAGTTTCCGTCCGTAACCGTTTGGTGAGCAGAGTAAGGGACACGTACCGAATATTGGATACGTGCACAATACTGGATACTCCGCTATCATGAAAACTAAACAACACCACCTTTATTTAAAAACTAAAACTACTTCGTCAATGTAAGTTACCAATATTTTGTTAGTTGTCTGCACCATTTTTGCCTTCAGTTCGCTGTCAACATTTAAAGTGTATTTTTCCGTTCGAGGATTTTTTCAGATCTTGAATTCAGAATGTTGTTAAAGTATTGTAAGTTTGCTAGCTGAGCTAAGCGCATAGTTAGAATACAGAACTTGACGCATTTTAGCGATAATTGCTCAGTAATTTTCGTAACCATTTACTGTACAAGTAGGTAGTTACCTCAATATTGGATACTTCGGTATCCATAATACTAGATATCCGATATTGGGGTACCTACAGCAATGGTTGTATAGTGTCTTTCATATTTAAATGTTTAATTATTTGTTTCGATGGGGATCATTAAAAATGATGATCGTTTTGATTTTTTTGCCTACTGCGTTTGCAAATTTAAAAGGATCATTTAAATACATGACCTGGCTAATAGAGCTTACCCTATACTGGATATACAATACTAAATAGTATACCCTGTACGGGATATTCTAATGTAAAGTCTTTAGATAGACAGTGACTGTGACTGCAATAAATACACATACTTAAATATTATATTAGTTTTTTTCGAATGTTCAAAAAGTATCCGATATTTGGTACGTCTCCCTTAATATGCGAATGAAAGCATGACGCATTGTCTATGACAATACCAAGATATTTAAAATCTATGCAATCATAGAACTGACAATCCAACTGTAGAAGCCTTAGTTTCCATAGTCTAAGGTAGAAGCAAGGGCTGGTGATCCGTCATACAGGGACTCCTATTTCGAACACCAGACTGTCACAAACGTTCCTAAATGCTTTTTGCTTATAATGTAATAAAAAGAAAGGATGTCATGTGGAATTAATGTAATTATTCAGGCGTTAAATTCCCTATATTACTTCCTTGTAGAAGTCTAAACATTTTGTAAAACGCAACAATGTTTTAAGTTACAACAACTCGTTTGTGTCTCCTCTTCTATCGGTCTGTTTTAAGAGATAAGTGGTCGTAACGTGTAGAATTGTGTGATTTTATTATGTAATATTGTAATTGTAGTCTTATATTGTTCGTATCTGTTTCAGATGCAAGCTACTCGTACCATCCGGCGATACACGATGATACGTTCGTACGTCGGAAACAGCGGCGCAATCGCACCACATTCACATTGCAGCAGGTAGGTAGTTCAGTAATATACCGCTGCTTTTATACAATAACGCAGTATTGCATAATTAATTGCATAGTAAGACTTAAGCCTACAGCGACGAGAAGAGCAAGCGGATCTTTTCAAGCATCCGTTTTCTTACGTATGTATATATTTTTAAAATAAAACACGCATAGTCACACGTCAATTTTTTGTTATCGTAGTATTCTGCAACTTAGCGTTAATAGTGTGATATTTCTACATTTATTTGTGTCCAATAGGTTTATAAATATTTAGTATGTTGTTGTTGTTGTTCGTATTGATGGGCATGAGAATACATTATAGGCAGAGAACAAATAAGTAATGAGAACGGACACTCTCCGCCCCTCCCTAGCTTTGGATACCGCACCACGCCCCGCACATTGACGGTCATATTGAGTGAACGAGAACAAGGCCGTCGACGAGCCGTTTTCGCTCTAAGACGGCTTTGATATTTGAACATAGTTTTCATTTTTTCATTACGAAATTTGTACGTTAATATATAACATAATTGTACGTTACTATTTATAATGGTCGTGAATTGGCTGTGTACGGTTGTTTATAATCATCTAAACGGGATAAAGTGAGGGTTTCTTTCGTTTTTTGAAAGATGAAACGAAATAAGTAAAAAAAAACTTATGACTGAGACACATTCAGTTATTGTTTTCTTTAGTAATATATAATGAAGCCTTGGTAGCCTAATGGTTTCACCTACTGCTTCTCAAGCATAGGGTCGTGGGTTCGAATCCGGGCTCCCACCTCTGAGTTTCTCGGAATTTATATGCGAAATTTAATTATTTTTTTATAAAAAATAAGTGCGCATTTGACCTCCGTCTCACATGATGGAAAGTGACGATGAGGTCGATGTAGTACAATAAGATTTTAGGACTTCATTAGCATTTTTTCATTGATTTATGAGCTTATTCTTTTATCAACTCAACTCACAAATCATTCAGATTGCTAACCAGGTGAGGTGTTTACTTTTTAACAATTAGTTAGCATTATTAATACAAAGATCGAACACTCAGAATAAATCCTTCGATCCGGCCGGATTCGAACCGATCCATTTCTCATAGATGGCGCTACGGCTAAAAAGTCGTTGAAAAACCAAATACAAAGATACGACAACAAACACATAGAACAATTCCTGAGGTCCGCTGGTTCGTTCCTTGGCTAAGTTGGTAGAGCGTCTGTCACGGTATGCTAGAATCCGGCCGGATCGAAGGAATTTTTTTCTGAGTGTTCCATCTTTGTATTAATAATTAGCAGAATAATATGCGAACTAGTGGAGTAATTTCACATAAAAAAATTTAATATCAATTCAATAAAAAATTAAATACAGTGAATAGCGAGATCTAGCCGGGGCTGGTAGCTGTAAAGGTATCTAATTGGGCCATGAAATACTTTCATAGATTTCTCATAGATGGCACTATGGCTGAAAAACAAAAATCGTTGAAAAACCAGATACAAAGATACGACAACAAACACATAGAAAAATGCATGAGGTCCGCTAGTGCGTTCCGTCACTTAGTTGGTATAGCGTCTGGCACGGTATGCCAGAAGACGTCGGCTCGAATCCGGCCGGGTCGAAGGATTTTTTTCCTAAGTGTTCGATCTTTGTATTAATAATTATAACAAACTAGTGGAGTAATTTCACATAAAAAATAATTTAATATCAATTCAATAAAAAATGTAAATATGATATAATAAATTTAGATATGGCATAACGCTTATGTCAAATTGAGGCGAGTGCAACGTGTTTTCACAAACTTTTGCCAATGTATGAAACTCTTTTCAGCTGGAGGAATTGGAAACAGCGTTTGCGCAGACGCACTACCCTGACGTGTTTACACGGGAGGACCTTGCTTTGAAGATCAATCTCACTGAAGCTAGAGTTCAGGTAAGCTATCATAGTTTGACCGTAAGCGTGTTTACTTACTGGCATCCCATTCGTGTTCATTCCGAATCCAAGACTATACAAATCTAGAAAACTCGGACCTACTTCTAATGTCGCTTGTGCACTAAGTCCGATTCCAATCCGAGAAAACACAAATATCGCTTGTACACCTAGAGATAAAACATCGAGTATATAACCAGAAATAGAGACGATTGGCTAGCCCGAGTTCGAAACAATTGACGGGTGTCGTCAATGGGTGTACTCAACTGTTTCACTTCAAATCGACCAGTTAACTTGAGCTTTGCTATAATGGACGAAAATTGCAAAATTACATATTTAATTACCGATGAAAGGTGATTCCGTTTGTTTTGTAATTAGATGTTTTGCTGTTTTGCCCATACCACCGAATAGAACAGAACAGCATTGTTAGAGATATTATCTTTATTACAATAAGTATAGAATACTTTTTGGAATATACGGAGACATACACACAGCTCAGTAGTTGGCCTGTCTATATTTCAGTGCAAACGAGAGTTGATATTTATAAGAGCTGTATCGCTAATGTGTTACCAGGAATATATGGCCCTTATTTTGTTCCTATTTCTGGTTATATACTCGATGAGATAAAATGACACTTCGGACACAATTTCGGACCGTCTTCTCTCGGATTCGGGATTCGGAACTGATACGAATTGAATGTAGTGCGCAAATGCTCTAATACTTATACAACAATCACGTCATTATCATCATAATAGATTAGTTTAGGTCAAAGATGGTCATGATTGCCACAGAGTTGTCAGGGTTCTTGAGTCTATTTTTTTTTAATTATTTTATTATTATATTCGCTTAAATCCTAAATAACAAAAAAACAATTATTTACGCTCAAATAAATCAGGTTTTAACCGGTAATTGATTGATTTAATTTTGTTTGTTGAGTTAATTTATTGTCTAATATGTGCGTTCGTAGACTTATCAGGATTTACAATAACAAATGTATCGAGTTCTTAGGTTTTCGCGATTGTTACATATATACCGTGACCATGGGACCTGTAAAGAGCCCGAAACGTCGGTTTGTTTGAAAAAACAAATGTACGCGATTAAATCCGGAAAAATAGTTTTATTTCCCATGAATAACAAATGTAGTTAATTGTTAAAAGTGTCAACTTTTGAAAGTTACCAAAATTGCCTTCAAAACAAAAGTTACTTATATATTACGCTACAGACTAAAAAATACGAAAAATTTAATGTAATCATCCGGGAATTGTCTATTATTATGCTGAATATTATAACTATGGTAGACATTCGTGCATGCTACTTATACGCCAGTTACGCCAGCCTCGAGTTTCCATATCATAATATGTAGCCATGTTTATTTATTAAAACGAATTATTAATCATAAGCAACATAAACTAGGTATGTAGTACAATCAAATCAATGAAAGAAAACTTAGTAGATAAATAAATTTAGATACCTAAAATTTGGGGAAAATTTGGATACATATCTCAATCAGATCAAACCTACCAAGAATATAGAGTGTATGAAAGCATGCGTGTGAAGGAAGCAATGTCTGGAACGTAGCAATTCGAGATGCGTAGACATTTCCTACGCTGTAGCAGATGTACTGAATAATCATTTGCCATCGGGAACACTCGGAAACCACGACTAGTCCCGAATGCTATTGACGATTAGATATTAGTTATTAGTATTTATGTCCACTAATGTGAAACTTCATAAATACGTTCGTATCCGACAAAATACGATAGCAAATTATTATTTCCAATGTGTATAGTGGTGTGAACGATGGTAGCTCAGTAGTAGAACGGGTGCTTCTCAGTTGTGATGTAGACGGTTCGAATCCCAGTGGAATGGTGTTTTTAATTTATAAGTTATGTATACTCACGAATTTTTAGTAGCATTACTTCCACGGTGAACAAAAACATCGTGATTGCACATCGGAAAAAGCATTGGGCTAGTATTCCTTTAAGAAGATCCGTACCCAGCAGTGCGACGCATAACGGGTGGACGATGAGTAATGTTTGTATACAGGGTTATAATTTGTAAAATATTAACAACTCGCACTTACAAACACCATAAACAACAACTTTTGTTCCATAACTTTTAATAATTCTTTAGAGTTTACTTTCGTACAAAAATAAAGAATTTGTATCGGATACATTTCGGGGAGTGGGCTCAGGAACTTTTCAATTTAATTCCTCTATCACCGTTCCTCCTTCGGTCGACTAGAAAGTCTGGAACACTCCATCCTTATGTCGTTGATATACCATCTATTCGCATTAAGCACTTTGCTTCCTTCTTTCTGATTCGTACGGCAAAGGAATGGAATACTCTACCAACATCTGTGTTTACCGAAAAGTACAATTTGGGGCTAATCAAGGCTGGAGTGAATAGGCATTTTTTAGGCAAACGCGTCCTATCATCGGTCACCTCGTTGCTTAACATCAGGTGAGATCGTGGCCAAGCGTGTGTATATTGATTACATTTATGTTAAAAAAATATTGAAATAGATCGCTCTAAACGGTGATAACTCTGTGCGGTAACAAAAGAAAGCTTGCCTATTTCATCTGACTACCTTACTATCAAAAACATAGATCTAAAAATCGTCAGATAGTACAATAAAATCTTTAGAGTTTATTTTTGGTAAGCTTCGTAAAAAGTCATATAACAAAATTGCTTTTTTTTTTTGCTTGGGCCTGGTGGTAAGCGACACGCCTGTCCCTAACAGTTGCAGTGCCACTCAGGGCACCCGTCACCCTTTTCATTTCACCAGCACCCTTCAAAACTGGAACGCAGTAATGCTCACATTACGGAGAAATAAGCCAATTATTTCTCTGGACGAACTCTGTCACAAGGCGCTCTACTGCTACTATCATGTTTATGTTGTTTATGGTGTAAGCAATGTAGTCCTGTGAAGTTATTAGTATTTTATAAATAACCCTATTAGACAACATCAATAAATATTAGACAACATTACATACGTTGCTCCGAACCCAAAGTAAGTAGCTAAAGCAAGTGCTTTTGTGCTTTTTTTTTGCCGATTTCCATAACACAAGTGTGTTATGGAAATCGGAAACAACGACGTTATCACAAACACCCAGACCCGAGACAATATAGAAAAGTTAGTTTTTTACACCGACCCGGCTGAGGATCGAACCCGGGACCTCAGAGATGGAGACACTATGAAAACCGGTGTTCAAGCCACTCGACCACGGAGGCCGTCTAATATTAATAAAACGTATTATATATAAAACTATATAGCTACATATGAAACGTATTACCATTCACATACTAACACACCTTTACGTCTCTGCCAAACTCAATTTTACTACAAAATTATGCGGTATATTTGGTAGCGCATAAAGCTATGATTTACGAGTGTTGCCGTCATCTAAGAACCCTCGCAGTCTCATTGGAGCCGACGGCGACTGGCTGTCGGGTTTATGGTCTACAGACACGACGTAAATTGTCGACTTTACTTACATGGTTGTAGAGAGGTGAAAGTGGGTTGGATCGTGTTAATTTATTGTGGTGTCACTTCACATGGCCATTTGTATTTGCGTATTTGATATATTTGGCAAACAATCACCATGTGTAGATGATATGTGCGACAAAGTAATTGCCTTGTTTGCCTATTCCACAAATACAGCAAACCCCAAACTCGTGTTACCGCGATCTGGTCGGTTTCTTGACGCACATCAAAGGTAAGAAAGAATAAGATAAAGAATGAGTAATGAGGGGAAGTTTGAAAGTGGCACCAGTGACGGAAAAGATGAGAAGTAATAGGTTAGCGTGGTATGGACATGTCATGCGGAGGGGAGAATGTCATGTGACTAGAAGAGTGTTAGATATGAATGTGGAGGGATTGTTTGAAAGATGACATGGATAAGTAAGGTGTGAGAATGAAAATGACAGCTGATAGGGGAGAGTGGAAGAAAAGTACTTGTTGTGCCGACCCCACCTAGCGTGGTATAAGGACAGGAAGAAGAAGAAGTTCAGAGTGGCGTGGTTTGGCATTAATATTAGACTGAAATGGTCGATTACTAATCCTAGCTGTGGCCAAAAGACATGTTAAGGATCCCGAAACGCGAATTAGAACCGAAATAAATATAACGTATTTTTATTAAAAAAACCGACGTCAAAAGTTAGCTCCGTTTTGGATGTGTTTGTTACCGTGGTCTCCTCCTCGATAACTGAAACGCATAATTATGGAAGTCCTTGACAAAACGAATCATAATGAACCCAAACACAAGGTACTTGTTGTAGACAGTCGAGGAGTTCCTGTCATCTATCTGCTATTTAAATCATCAGAACTACATCTTTGAAATTGAATTTTTATTGAACGTCAGAATGTTTCATTACCATAAATCTCTAGACAGGGCTGGTAGCTGTAAAGGTATCTAACTGGGTGATGAAATACTTCCATAGATTTCTCATAGATGGCGCTACGGCAAAAAAGTCGTTGTAAACCAAATACAAGCATCCGACAACAAGAACATGGAAAAATTCGCGAGGTCCGCTTGTTCCTCCCGTGGCTTAGTTGGTTTAGCGTCTGACACGGTTTGCTAGGAGACGTCGGTTCGAATCCGGCCGGATCGAAGTATTTTTTCTGAGTGTTCGGTCTTTGCATTAATAATTATAACAATCTAGTGGAGTAATTCCACAAAAAAATTAAATATCATGGTGGGTTTCACCACTATTCTGACATTGAATAAAAATTTAATTACAATTAATAGCGACATCTCTAGCCCGGGCTGGTAGCTCTAAAGGTACCTACTGGGTAACGAAATACTTTCATCGATTTTTCATAGATGGCGTTACAGCTAACAAGTCGTTAAAAAAACAAATACAAGGATCCGACAACAATCACATGTCAATAACATGATTCGATTATGTTTGATAATATCCACAGTAGTTTCAATTACATCTATCTGCCATGTTTCATTGAAATCGGTTAACGGAAACTGGGTGAAATCCAATAAACCGGA